CAAGCCGAGGGTGGAGAGCGGCTACTTCTCACTGGAGAAGGCCAAACCTGAAGAACAACAACAACTTCAACAAGAACAGCAGCAGCCTCCTCAGCACCTCCCTCTTTCCTCCTCTTCATCCTCCTCTTCCTCTCGGCTGAGGTACAGCTCCTCAGACTCGATGCTCTGCTCCTCCTCCTCCTCACACAACACACACACCACTAACACACACACCACCCACACCGACGCCCACACGCTCTCACCCCCCGACACGCGCGACACACACTCGCGCACCCTGCGCTCCTCGCTGTCCTCCTCTCAGAGTTCTCTCGACTCTGAGCCCGGAGTGGAGGGGCGTGGCTCTGCGCAGGTGGGCGGAGCCGCCGTGAGCACGGCCGGGTCTGCGGCGAGGACTGGCCGAGGTGGGCGGAGCTACGCAGTGCTGGCGGACGTCCCGCGGGCCCGAAGGCTGAGTCACCGCGAAGCGTTCCGGACGGAGCGGAAGCGGCAGGAGCTCCGAGAGAGAACCCGGAGTCCGGGCAGAGAGGAAGTGGAGAGACTGTTCGGACACCAGCGCAGGTCAGACACACCGTTACTCACAGTTACTACAGACTTGCTCACAGTAGGGCTCCTCGATTACGGCAGAAATCATAACCACGATTATTTTTGATCAATATTGAGATCACAGTTATTTTAACACAGTCAACTTATCAACTTTAGAAAAATCATGCAGTTATTGAACCTTAAAAAACTTTAAATATAATTTAAAAGAAAAACAAATAAAAGAAAAAAAGATGAACAAATAAAATAAGTAATTTAATTAATAAATATATATTATTTAATCAATATTGGGGTCACAATTAAGATGATTGCTCATCAACTTTAGAAAAATTGTGCATTTTTTTACTTTTATTGTCTTTTATGTATGTATAAACAATACAAAAATAATAAAAATAAATAAGATCAACTTTGTTCTAATGCACTTCCACAACCTACTGCAAACTACCAAACATGCTTAGAAATAATAAATAAAAGTAAATGAGATGAGTTTGGGCTTTGAGGGAGGTGTGAAAGCGCTGCTGTAAAGGTAGGGGGTGCAGGGTATTCAACCCCATACAGAATAAGAGTATCACTGTGAAATGGAACGCAGCACAGTGATCGTTTGATCTCGATTATCTTGTTTTCATAATCGTTGGAAGCTGAAATCATAATTAAAATAAAATGTGATTAATCACCGAGCCCTAGCGAACGGTAGTGCTGAGAGGTATGACCAGAAATCCCATCATGATATACTTTTCCAGATCATTTAATACTGAAAACTACTCAAATGCATTTCCTGTAATTGTGTTTTTAATGCTGATGTAAGCTAAACTGTAATTATGAGGATGACGTTCACAGGACTGCGCGAGTCAGAAGGACGTCTTGTCATTGGTTTCAGTGAAAGCAGTGCATTAACAGACAACAAGTACCATCATGTGTAAATGAGTAACGCGTATTAATGTGTTTGTTTTGACTGATATCAAAAGGTCCTTGTGAACGCAGCCCTAAGTTACTGTATTTACCTGCAAGCCGCTGCCATTCGTTCGCTCGTATACTCGTCTGAACAGCTCGTTATTGCGAATTTAACGGCTGTCCAGAGAGTTTTATTTCTCAGGAGCCAAATTTCAGAAGCAGGAGAAATTGGCTTCAGTCTCACTCTGATTTCAAACTGGACTGAACCTCGTCTAGGAGAAGAACATCGGATCTCATTTAGAACATTTCTTTTTCTGAGTATTTATAACTTTACTGAAAACAACACGTTTGACTGGCTGCTCTATTTACGTTCATTAGTTTATTCAAATGTTGGTGTTTTATTGTCAAAAGCTGCTGAGAGAAATCATTTTAAAATCATTTTCACTCAGACTGTATGTAGATTTTATGAAAGTAAAAGCTACGTTTTGTTATTAGTTTCTGTTCTAGTATGCTCTGACCCGGCGTTCACACCGGCAGCGACTTTTCGCCTCTTGTTGCCCAAATCGCTGGTCGCTCATCGCCTGTGGGTGTTTCTGAACTCAGTCTGACCGTTGGTTGCCATGGTTTCACTGACACCAAGCACAAATCAGATGCGTTCCCACTGAAAGTAAAAATCCTGGTGAGAAATGCTTCGTGCTTATTCTTATTTAGCCCCTGTCTGTGCAGCCAGTTTGTGAGGAAAACAGTATTTGGTCTTTGTGATTTTGTCTATTTGCGGTGCCGTTATTCCGTCTCTAGTAGGAACAGTTACCTAGGAGCCAACAAAGGAGCGCACCGATCCACAGTGGCGGAGGTAAAGCGCGTACTACGCTGCTGAATGCTCAATTACTAATGGTAATTGCCACGTCGCTTCACTCCTTATTTGCATAAAGTTAAAGTCCGCTCTGTCGCGTCACTGACTCCGCCCACTTCGCATCACCAGTGTTCGCGCCTCCTGTCCAGAAATCGGCAGCTGTCATAAAAAAAAAGAATGACTTCTGGCCACCTTGTCGTGTCGCATCGCGTCGCTGCTGGTGTGAATGCAGGGTGTCCTACTATTGCTGCTGTGAGAGAAAGGCTAGACTTCTTCTCCTTCCAGTCTACACCTAGTGCTGAACTAGCAACTGTTTACAGTTCGAGGCTTTGCTGCTAATACAGAACTGAGGAATGAAAGGCGTAATCATGATAAAAAATAGTTTTCCGATAAAAACGTGCAGATGCAGATAGAAACAAGAACACATACACATATATTATATTACTTATTTTATTAACCTTTTTTCCTTTTTTCTATTAAATTCTTTCAATAAATGCATGATTTTTCTAAAGTTTATGAGTAATCGTCTTAATTGTGATCCCAATATTGATTAAATAATATATATTTATACATTTCTCATTTAATTTGTTCATCTTTATTTGTTTTTCTATTAAAAACAAACACAGAGCTGATGCACACAAGATACAGACACTGACAAAACTAGTTGTGCACATGTTAGTCATGCAAACACACACAGTGTTGGGTTCACGCACTCAAACCAATGTGAAGTCGGTGCTGGAGAGCACTTTTCCTCCTTCAGCTGTGTTTGAGTTCCTGACGTCTGGCACAGCGTTCAGTAGGACAGCTTTACACCCTGAGCTCCTCTGCTACATTAGCACAGTGCAGCGTGGGTAACGTAGTTTCCTGCTGCCTTCATGCCATCTGCCCCTCCAGCCTGAGCCAACATGGCACCTGCCTCCGACTCCACAGCTCGTACGAGCTCCGGTCTCTGGGCTTCAGCTCCATCTAGTGGACGCTGCGCAGCATTGCTCACGCTGAAGCTCTGATTCCATTCTCTTACATGACTGTGAAGTGAATGATCAGTGCTTTTGTTTTGGAGGTATTTGGGAAGGATGATCGGGATGATTTTCCTCTTTGCTCTGTCTCTGTCCTTGCTGCTTTTCTTTCTCTGTTTTCTTTATGTCTTCTTTCTGTGTATATGTCTGTGTTTGTCTCTCTCTCTCTCTCTCCCTCTCTTCCTCTCTCACCCCATTTTCTCTGTAGGAGAGAGCAGGAAACAGTGCATTTTGCTTCCTGCTAAATAATGTTAAAAGTATTTGAGGTAGATTCACGCCTCTGCTACAAATGGAGACGTAAACTTTGTTTTGAGCTCCTACTGTTTCTGAACAACTCAGCCAAAAGCAGAGTGAGTACAATCGTCGCAACTAAGCCCAAATGTGGGGTTAACTGTAACAGATTAAGGGGTTGGTTGTCACACTCGCTAAAATGTCTGGTAAACTGACGCAATCACAAGCTGCATTCTAAAGCCTGGGCTGCAGTCAAGGTAGTGCGGGTCTTCAGTAGGTCTGTCCTATGAAGACTCCTCCTTAGTAGCCTATTGGTCACACAAATGGACCTGGAGATGTTCTTAAACTACATACGTACAGATGCTCCTAAATAAAATACGACATACGGACGGTATACGATATATGGACGAAAGCTTTAACTAATCAGTCATTTTACACTACATAAGGCGAATTCAAGGCCGTGAACAGCTGACATTTTGAAACAAACTCTCCAACGGCTTCGTTTTCTGACGTTTTTCTTGGTTCTGTTTTTTTTTCCTTCTTTTTTCTTCTTGTCGTTCATTATCAACTGTGGGTAACCGAAGGACACATCTGATGTGTCCTTGGAATCACGTAGGCTGCATTTCTAGGCTGTGAAGGGTCCTTCACTTTGGAACAGACTTGTATGACGTAGTGGCCGAGAAATGCAGCCTCGGCTTTGGAACACAGCTACTATAAATCTCGGGGCAGTTCTGTGTGGTTTGAACCAGACAAGCTTCCCAACCTACTTAAAAAATAGATATTTTATCACAGTAAATATGATTAGTAAATAGAGGCTGTTTTGAATGTTGCAGATTTATTTTTGGACCACAAATCAAAAGAGCAAGTTTATCAGTTTTATATAATGCATAAATAATTGAAATATATATCGTTTGAATGACACCTGCAGCTTTTGATGAGTCTGTGCAAAAAAATGTCCAAAAAATGAACAGTTTCAAATATATGGGGGGACTCTGGGGGGGTAAAACTGTAACAGGGTGTTAAACTGAACCACCCACCCCCTGTGTGGAGGCTGGACTTTAACCTGGCTGGCTCTCACTGTGAGCCGTTTATCTGCAGTTCTGTGTTCCAGACACTGACAGGAGATTAAATTATACAGGAGTGAATCCTGTAAACTCACTAATCACAAACACCTCTGATTAAAAACTACTTTTATGGTATAAAAACACCTGGAGGAACATCTGTCTGCTGTGAAGATGCACAGATGATGTTGCTATGGGAACACGAGAAGATGACCAAAAGCACGTTGTAGTGGAACCTGTTAAACTACATAGAATATCCAAGGGACTTTCCACTGTGTTAGTCTGTGTCCTGCTCTCCCCTGTGTGTGTGTGTATATATGTGTGTGTGTGTGTGTGTGTGTGTGTGTGTGTATTTGATGTGTGTGTGTGTGTGTGTGTGTGTGTGTGTATTTGATGTGTGTGTGTGTGTGTATATATGTGTGTGTGTGTGTGTGTGTGTGTATATATGTGTGTGTGTGTGTGTATATATGTGTGTGTGTGTGTGTGTGTGTGTGTGTGTGTGTGTATTTGATGTGTGTGTGTGTGTGTGTGTGTATTTGGTGTGTATTGGTCCTTTTCTTTTTCCTCCATGCTCTCACTCCTCCCTCTGTTTTACTTTCTGCGCTCTATTTCATCTGTTTCTTCTCTCTTTCAGGCGCTCCTCTGAAACTCCGCCCCTCCTGCCTTCTGCCACGCCCTGCCACGCCCACTGACTCCTCTGCTTGCTCTCATTCCAAATGCTGGGATCGCTGTCACACACACACACACACACACACACACACACACACACACACACACACTTACACTTACACCTGCTGCTCATTGCTGCTGTTCCTGGGTTCCTGAGTGCTTCCCACCATCCTTCCATCTGCTGCCTTCTCTCGCCCACACACACACACACACACACACACACACACACACACACACACACACACACACACACACACACTTAGGCATTACTGATCTGAACCTTAATTGCAGCCTTCACTCATACTTCCATCATAGTGTCTTAGGTTTAATCCCTCAGTCAAGCCATAATGTATTGGCTTTAGTCCCTCAGTTAAGCCGTAATGTTTTGGGTTTGGTCCCTCAGTTTCACCATAATGTCTTGGGTTCAGTCCCTCAGTTAAGCCATACTGTCTTGGGTTTAGTTCCTCAGTTCAGCTTTAACATATTGTATTTAGTCTCTCTGTTCAGACATAATGTGTTAGGTTTAAACCAGTTCAGCTGCCATGTGTTTAATCCCCCAGTTCAGTCAAAATGTATTTGGTTTAGTACCTCAGTTCAACTCTAATATATTGGGTATAGTCCTCTAGGTGTGGGGACTAGGCCCTCGATTGAGCTATCACGTATCACTTGAGTTGAGTCCCTCATTTCAACTACAATATATGAGTTAGTCACTCACATGTAGTGTACTGGGTTTAGACCTTCACTTCAGTCAGAATGTATTTAATTTAGTCTCACAGTTCAATCATTATGTTCTGGGTTTAGTCCCTCAGTTCAACCATAATGTACTGGATTTACTCCATCAGTTTAACCATAATGTCTTGGGTTTAGTCCCTCAGTTTAACCATAATGTCTTGGGTTTAGTCCCTCAATTTAACCATTATGTAATGGGTTTAGTTCCTCGGTTTAACCATAATATACTGGGTTTGGTCCCTCAGTTTAACCATAATGTACTGGGTTTAGTTCCTCGGTTCAACCATAATATACTGGGTTTGGTCCCTCAGTTTAACCATAATGTACTGGGTTTAGTTCCTCAGTTCAACCATAATGTACTGGGTTTAGTTCCTCAGTTCAACCATAATGTACTGGGTTTAGTTCCTCAGTTCAACCATAATGTACTGGGTTTAGTTCCTCAGTTTAACCATAATGTACTGGGTTTAGTCCCTCAGTTCAACCATAATGTACTGGGTTTAGTTCCTCAGTTCAACCATAATGTACTGGGTTTAGTCCCTCAGTTTAACCATAATATACTGGGTTTGGTCCCTCAGTTTAACCATAATGTACTGGGTTTAGTTCCTCAGTTCAACCATAATGTACTGGGTTTAGTTCCTCAGTTCAACCATGATAAATTGTGTTTTGTTCCTTGTTTAAACCATAATGTACTGGGTTCAGTCCCTCTATTCAGCTATAATATGCTTAGTTTAGATTTTCTGATACTGATTTTAAAATGTATTGATCACCTATTTCACCTGTTTGTTTCTGGTTCTTGCCAAATTAAAATCTCAAAATCATTAAACCTGATCTATTCCTGACACCATTCATTATAATTTTATGATAAATAAAAGCAGAAGCTTCTTATAATGATTACTTTTCTGTCTTTTTTTATTAATCCAAAGTTTTGTTTTTTATCCTCATGATTAATTAATGTTACTTGATGGTCAGAAAATCAGTTGTAAGCTTAAACTCTTTGAGGTTTGCTGGTGCAGTTTGGTGATGTGTGTAGTGGAGTTTGGGTCTGTTTACTGGACAGTTCTGTAATGTGACTGAGCTGTGTGTGTGTGTGTGTGTGTGTGTGTGGTAGGCGTTCTCAGGTGATTGAGCGGTTCGAGACACAGCAGTCAGCAGATGGCCTGGAGCACATGGACACGACCTGCTCCTCAGCTGAGCAGTCCTCTCCCTCACCTAAAGCCACCAATGAGAGGACAGGGCGCAGCGAGAGGCGTCTGCCTGCCCAGAAACAGGTACACTTTCTCATATGCAAACAGAAACGCTTACGTTTGATCTTCCCCATAATCTGAAAAAAGCTTTTTTGAACTGTTTAATGAGCAGCTCACCAGGGTAAATGACCTTCTGTCTGTTGACTTTCCTTCTAAATAGGAAATTAAACAAATGACTCGTCCAGTCGCTGTTAAAGTGGACAGTGTAAACAAGCGTGCTTAATGCCGGGGTTACACTACACGACTTTTACCCCGATTTTAGCCCCTATTCTCAGTCTGGCTGAGTCTAAGCTGGTCGGCTCTGGTCTGCAGATTTTTGGGTCAGTCGGAGTCGACAGTTGGAGAGAATTGAACGGTGTGTGAGGGGTGCTGACTCAGATATTTGGCCTCCCGAGTGCAAATTAAGCAACATTTTTCCAACTTTTCTGCCTGAATTTAGGTCTAAAACTATGTTGGCCTAATATGTTGATATTTGATGTTCAGTCATATGCGCACACAAACATTTCTGTGCTGAAAATTTCCTCAAAATTTTCTATTGTTTTTCCTGTGGGCCTTTGCTTTCTAGTGGTAATACAGTGGACACTGGAGAGGAAGAGGTTGAGAGCCCCTGTTAGAGATAACATTATGTCGTCAAACCTGGTGCGTCTCTCCCTGACCATGCTTGTGTGTTCTGTGGTGCAGGATTTGTCTTTGGACGCCAGTACGGCCCGTTCCGTGCCGGACATCTCTGGAACGACGCTGGCCAGTTACCGGAGGGCAAAGAGTCTGGACCGCAGAGTGACAGAGTCATCCATGACGGTCAGCAAGCTGGACTGTTTTAACTGCTTTTACCTTCCCCATAACTCTGTACTCTAATCTACCTCAAAGGGTTCTTTAGTGAGGATGATGTCGAAGAACCACTTCTGGTTCTCTAAATAATGTTTCAGTGGACGGTTCTGTAAAGAATCATTTCTGTAGATGAGATGTGCGATTCTGGAGAACCATCTTAAAGACCCTCCAAATAATGTGAAATTACCAAGTGAAAGGTTTTCCCTTGAATCCCAGAACGTAAATCAGAGTGTAGATCAAATGTCACTGTAATTCATTATGAAACTAATTATGTAATCAATAAGGTAAATCAAATGTATAACACTAATAGCAGTTTTAACCCTAGATATCTCAGGATTAACGTACAGTCAGTTGCGGTGTTACAGCTGGTGAAGTATCTGGTGTTACTGCAGTAATTTAACACACCGCCCGGCAGGTTGTTCTTGGTGTGGTTTGGTAGTTCTTGGTATGGTTTGGCTGTTCTTGGTGTGGTTTGGTAGTTCTTGGTATGGTTTGGCTGTTCTTGGTGTGGTTTGGTAGTTCTTGGTATGGTTTGGCTGTTCTTGGTGTGGTTTGGCTGTTCTTGGTGTGGTTTGGTAGTTCTTGGTATGGTTTGGCTGTTCTTGGTGTGGTTTGGTAGTTCTTGGTATGGTTTGGCTGTTCTTGGTGTGGTTTGGTAGTTATTGGTATGGTCTGGCTGTTCTTGGTGTGGTTTGGTAGTTATTGCTATGGTTTGGCTGTTCTTGGTGTGGTTTGGTAGTTATTGCTATGGTTTGGTAGTTCTTGGTGTGGTTTGGTAGTTATTGCTATGGTTTGGCTGTTCTTGGTGTGGTTTGGTAGTTCTTGGTGTGGTTTGGTAGTTCTTGGTATGGTTTGGCTGTTCTTGGTGTGGTTTGGTAGTTATTGCTATGGTTTGGCTGTTCTTGGTGTGGTTTGGTAGTTATTGCTATGGTTTGGCTGTTCTTGGTGTGGTTTGGTAGTTATTGCTATGGTTTGGCTGTTCTTGGTGTGGTTTGGTAGTTCTTGGTATGGTTTGGCTGTTCTTGGTGTGGTTTGGTAGTTCTTGGTATGGTTTGGCTGTTCTTGGTGTGGTTTGGTAGTTCTTGGTATGGTTTGGCTGTTCTTGGTGTGGTTTGGCTGTTCTTGGTGTGGTTTGGTAGTTCTTGGTATGGTTTGGCTGTTCTTGGTGTGGTTTGGTAGTTCTTGGTATGGTTTGGCTGTTCTTGGTGTGGTTTGGTAGTTATTGGTATGGTCTGGCTGTTCTTGGTGTGGTTTGGTAGTTATTGCTATGGTTTGGCTGTTCTTGGTGTGGTTTGGTAGTTATTGCTATGGTTTGGCTGTTCTTGGTGTGGTTTGGTAGTTATTGCTATGGTTTGGCTGTTCTTGGTGTGGTTTGGTAGTTCTTGGTGTGGTTTGGTAGTTCTTGGTATGGTTTGGCTGTTCTTGGTGTGGTTTGGTAGTTATTGCTATGGTTTGGCTGTTCTTGGTGTGGTTTGGTAGTTATTGCTATGGTTTGGCTGTTCTTGGTGTGGTTTGGTAGTTATTGCTATGGTTTGGCTGTTCTTGGTGTGGTTTGGTAGTTCTTGGTATGGTTTGGCTGTTCTTGGTGTGGTTTGGTAGTTCTTGGTATGGTTTGGCTGTTCTTGGTGTGGTTTGGTAGTTATTGCTATGGTTTGGCTGTTCTTGGTGTGGTTTGGTAGTTATTGCTATGGTTTGGCTGTTCTTGGTGTGGTTTGGTAGTTCTTGGTATGGTTTGGCTGTTCTTGGTGTGGTTTGGTAGTTCTTTGTATGGTTTGGCTGTTCTTGGTGTGGTTTGGTAGTTCTTGATATGGTTTGGCTGTTCTTGGTGTGGTTTGGCTGTTCTTGGTGTGGTTTGGTAGTTCTTGGTATGGTTTGGCTGTTCTTGGTGTGGTTTGGTAGTTCTTGGTGTGGTTTGGCTGTTCTTGGTATGGTTTGGCTGTTCTTGGTGTGGTTTGGTAGTTCTTGGTATGGTTTGGCTGTTCTTGGTATGATTTGATACTTCTTGATATGGTTTGGCTGTTCTTGGTGTGGTTTGGTAGTTCTTGGTATGGTTTGGCTGTTCTTGGTGTGGTTTGGTAGTTCTTGGTGTGGTTTGGCTGTTCTTGGTGTGGTTTGGTAGTTCTTGGTGTGGTTTGGCTGTTCTTGGTATGATTTGATACTTCTTGATATGGTTTGGCTGTTCTTGGTGTGGTTTGGTAGTTCTTGGTATGGTTTGGCTGTTCTTGGTGTGGTTTGGTAGTTATTGCTATGGTTTGGCTGTTCTTGGTGTGGTTTGGTAGTTATTGCTATGGTTTGGCTGTTCTTGGTGTGGTTTGGTAGTTATTGCTATGGTTTGGCTGTTCTTGGTGTGGTTTGGTAGTTATTGCTATGGTTTGGCTGTTCTTGGTGTGGTTTGGTAGTTATTGGTATGGTTTGGCTGTTCTTGGTGTGGTTTGGTAGTTCTTTGTATGGTTTGGCTGTTCTTGGTGTGGTTTGGCTGTTCTTGGTATGTTTTGGTTGTTCTTGGTGTGGTTTGGTAGTTCTTGGTATGGTTTGGCTGTTCTTGGTGTGGTTTGGTAGTTATTGCTATGGTTTGGCTGTTCTTGGTGTGGTTTGGTAGTTCTTGATATGGTTTGGCTGTTCTTGGTGTGGTTTGGCTGTTCTTGGTGTGGTTTGGTAGTTCTTGGTATGGTTTGGCTGTTCTTGGTGTGGTTTGGTAGTTCTTGGTGTGGTTTGGTAGTTCTTGGTATGGTTTGGCTGTTCTTGGTATGATTTGATACTTCTTGATATGGTTTGGCTGTTCTTGGTGTGGTTTGGTAGTTCTTGGTATGGTTTGGCTGTTCTTGGTGTGGTTTGGTAGTTCTTGGTGTGGTTTGGCTGTTCTTGGTGTGGTTTGGTAGTTCTTGGTATGGTTTGGCTGTTCTTGGTATGATTTGATACTTCTTGATATGGTTTGGCTGTTCTTGGTGTGGTTTGGTAGTTCTTGGTGTGGTTTGGCTGTTCTTGGTGTGGTTTGGTAGTTCTTGGTATGGTTGGGCTGTTCTTGGTGTGGTTTGGTAGTTCTTGGTGTGGTTTGGTAGTTCTTGGTATGGTTGGGCTGTTCTTGGTGTGGTTTGGTAGTTCTTGGTGTGGTTTGGTAGTTATTGGTATGGTTGGGCTGTTCTTGGTGTGGTTTGGTAGTTCTTGGTGTGGTTGGGCTGTTCTTGGTGTGGTTTGGTAGTTCTTGGTGTGGTTTGGTAGTTCTTGGTGTGGTTTGGTAGTTCTTGGTATGATTTGATACTTCTTGCTATGGTTTAGTTGTTCTTGGCCTGGTTTGGTATTTCTTGGTTTGGGTCTTGGAGTGCTTTAATAGAGCTTGGGGTAGGTTGGTAGTTCGTAGTGTGTTGACCATGTGAAGCTGGCTAAAGGCTGCTGTTAAGGCTGCAGCACAGTTTTATCAGTTTAATAAGCGCGACCACGGGTAAGAAAAAAGATCTACCTCGAGCTGCTACAGAACATTCTAAAGCCAGATGGGGATCAGGACCGATTCAGGACTTGGACTAATGCTACCCATTAAAAAAAACTTAAAAGAAAACAGTCTGCACAACAAATGCGTTTACTTTTGTGCGTGTAAAAGCCACTGATGGCACATTTTCAGACCTTTCAGTCATGCAGCTTGATCAACGTTGCGATAGATGGAAATTATTGACGGTTCATGAAATTGTCAATCATTTCAAACCCAGACTGTATTTATTGGAATTTAAACAGTGTTTACAAGCAATATTAAACTCTTTCATTAAAAAAAACACGTAATTGGCTTTTATACCGCAGTATATCACTAAAACCGGTAACATCCCCAGTAGTAGTGCAGCAGTTTGTCTTAGGGGTTTAGCACTTCTGGCTGGAATGAGTTCAGAATAGTCCTCAGGGTATTTCCTGTGTGTGTGGGCAGCTGCCAGCCATCCGCCCCCCCAACCCGGTTTTAAATAGCATGAGCGAGCCTCTGAAAGCTGAAACATATACACGCACACCCTCACTGAGCACAATTCATACGCAGTCGCACAGAGAGAAACACTGCGGGGCAGATGTGCGTGAAGAGGAGCGCTCAGATGAAGCTCAATAAGAATAAGGTACCCCGAGGCTAACCGCTAGGCGACAGCTCCGCTGTGCATCTCTTAATAAGGCGATTTGCACAGGACCAGACCAGGCTGAGATGAACATAGCACTTTTATGATGATATTGCCTTTCAGTGTTTTAATAAAATGGTTTATAATATCTCTGTAATCTTCAGTCTAGTAGTTGTTATTTTAGGGAGCTGGGTATTTCACGTACAGGACACTGGACGGTTTATCCTCGTCTTTTACTGTGGTGATCTGTGAGATGACCTGCAAGCATATATTTGAATGTGTAATTATATTTGCAGTTAACTGAACTTGACTGTTACAGAGTCTAAGTTTGACTCCCAGGCGAAATAGATGGAAAAAATGAACTTGTTCGAAGAGCTGCTGTAATATTGGATGGATTATTAGCATTGACTGTAAAAACATTCATACATACAGTGCACTGTGATTAGTACTGTATACACTACTGGTCAAAAGTTTGGAATCCATTCAGTTTAATGTTCATTTTATATACAGTAATAACTTTTACAATGTAGCTTTGAACATTTAAACCAGATAAAAATAGTATTTTTGGATGTTTCATTCAGTATTTCAGTATTGAATGGTTAGGAATAAGAAGTTGATAAATAATATACTGTAATTAATTTGACCTGACAAAGCCAGTTCACTGGTCTTTGTTATTCTATACTTTTTAATCATTTTCAGTGGTCAGAAATTTTGAGCTGGGACCGTGAAACTGCAAGATTGCAGAGCCTGTATGGGACTAGTGTGCTTGTGCTTTTGGAACTGATGGCATGTATAGTTTTCATACAGCGTTCTTTCAAACACACTTTGACTCAGAAATCTGTGGCTGAATGTTGTGCAGTTAAATCTAATTGCCACAATTTATTCCACAATATTCATTTATTAACTATAATTCATTCTTGATGTTTTACAGCATTCTGAGTTATTTTATGATCTTACAGCTTCGTTCGTTATTCAGGACCAACATCTAACATTTCTTAATTTTTATTTACAGCATCCTAGAGTTCTACCGAGTATCTGAAATCTGTGATGTTGCTCAGGATGCAAACATGAGACTCATTTTATACATTTGTCTGCAAAAATTTGATCTTACGTTTTTGAAAACATGGATTCCAAACTCTTGAATGGTACTGATTACTGTGAACGTCCATATACATTGATGTATTTATCATATGAATCCCTGCAGAAGTACATTTCAGAGCTTAAGCACTGTTTTATTGTGCTCTGACTGTGATGTTTACATGCTGTTAGTAGTTAGCTGATAGTTATTAAAGGGAAATTAAAATGATTTTTCAAAATTCCTGCATAACTCAGTGTGTGAGATGTAAACAGAGTGATACAGAGCGGTTTGGTGTGAAATGGTTCAGATGTCTTTACAGTGGTGGTGATAGGAACCAGGGGTCGCCATGACTACAACACAGATAGAGACATTTTATTTACTATCCAGAACCACCAGTGAACCTACACGAGTCTTCTGAGTTTATATGGAATGTTGATGATGGAAAACAGTGGAAAATCTGAAATAATCAGTTTTCTTTGGGGACTATTTTGCCTCACAGCGCCCTGCATGTATCCCTCCACCATGAATGGAGTTTAAGTTCTCAAAACTATCATAAAACAGTGTCTCAGTCATCAGGCAGTGAATTCATAACCATTTACATGCAGGAACTTTCTGTGAGGGAGCTTTTAGAGGTGGACGTCTGGTTCCTATCACCACCACTGTGAACAGTTCTGACTTGTTAAGAATGGAAAACCACGCTGAATGCCTTTGTTTACGTCTTATAAATGGATGGAATTCCCTTTTTCCAGTTAGCTGAAACCTTGTACCTGTTTGTTAAGAGGTGTTCATGTTATGTGTGGTCATGTTGAGTGTTATTCCTCATTCTCTTCTCCAGCCTGACCTGCTGAACTTTAAGAAAGGATGGATGACCAAACTGTACGAAGATGGCCTGGTGAGTCACTGTGATACGGAGAAGCACAAACATGTGTTCCCAAATCCTCCCGGGCTTCCAATTCCGGGCTGTTTTTATGCTAGTTATGTTTGGAGCAGCTACTATTAAATTCTAGAGGTTGATGTGAATCTTCTGACACCACTCTGTTTTTCTTCCTCAGTGGAAGAAGCACTGGTTTGTTTTGACTGACCAGAGTCTGAGATATTACAGAGACTCCATCGCTGAGGAGGTCAGTCTGTCTGTCTGTCTGTCTGTCTGACTGAGAATGATATCAGCACAGTCTAATATAAAACCAATATAAGTGTAATACACACGAAATGGCCAGTATGCACCTAATTACTTAGTTCAGGTATTTCAGCCAGCAGGTGTATAACTTCAAGCACATAGCCCTCCAGTCTCCATAGACAAACACTGGCAGAAGAATAGGTCGCACTGAAGAGCTCAGAGACTTTAGACATGCTGTTCTCATATGATGCCACTTTCACCACAAGTCAGTTAGTGAAATTTATGCCCTGCTCGATCTGCCCATCAACTGTAAATACTATTATTGTGAAACTGAGCAACAACAGCTCAGCCACAAAGCGGTAAACCACACAAACTCACAGAGCGGGACCGCCAAGTGCTGAAGAACGTAGTGCATAAAAATCTTCTATCCTGTTGCATCACTCAGTACAGAGTTCCAAACTGCCTCTGGAAGCAACATCAGCACAAGAACTGCACATCAGGAGCTTCATGAAATGGGTCTCCATGGCTGAGCAGCTGCACACAGCCTAAGATCACTATGCTCAATGCCAAGTGTCGGCTGGAGGGGTGTAAAACGCCGCCACTGGACTCTGGAGCAGTGGAACCGTGTTCTCTGGAGTGATGAATCAGCTTCTCTATCTGTCAGTCTGATGATGAATCTGGGTTTGGTGGATGCCAGGAGAACGTTACCTACCGGGATGCAGAGCCAACAGTAGAGTTTGGTGGAGGAGGGATGATGGGCTGGGCTGTTTATCAGGGTTTGGGCTCTCAGTTCCAGTGAAGGGTGATGTTGATGCTGCAGCACAAAGACATTTTACACAGTTATCTGCTTCCAGCTTTGTGTCAGCAGTTTGGGGAAGAGCCTTTCCTGTTCCAGCATGACTGAGCCCCTGTGCACAAAGCAGCTCCATAAAGACATGGAGTGACCAGTTTGGTGTGGAGGAACTCCAGTGGCCTCACAGAGCCCTGACCTTCACCCCACTGCACACCTTTGGGATGAACTGGGACATTGATTGTGAGCCAGACCCTCTTGTCCAACGTCAGTGTCTGACCTCACAAATGCTCTTTAGACTGAATGACCACAAATTCACAGACACTCTCCAACATCTTGTAGAAAGATTCCCAGAAGAGTGGAGGCTGTTAGAGCCGCAAGGAGAAGGCCAATTGTATACCAATGGTCATGGTTTTGGAATGGGCCATCACAACAAGCTCATATGGGTGTGATGGTCAGGTGTCCACATACTTTTAGTGTAGGTCTGGTATAAGACCAGTTTAGTTGCAGATACATGTATAAAACTATTTCTAATGTTTCATAGGTTTCACACAGTTGAGCTGTCAACAATTCCAGTGAATTATGATGAAATATCTGGAGTATCTGTTTGAAAAGCGGTGGCCTAATCACATTGATCAAATAGATATTAGCCAATTAGATAGTAATGTCATGACAAGGAATTACTATACATAGATAATTACACTTTATTGTTTAATAACATTTATATTTTGTATCATGTCATAAATTTGTCTTCCCAAAATATTTTAAATTGTGATGAAATTATCTGTTTACATTTTGGTGTCTGTTTAATAACATTTTGGTCTACACTGCAAATTATTATTGAATAACCTTTATTAATATGAGAAGTGATTCCATCATTTTGATGATTTCCGTCATTTCTGTTCTTTTTGGATCTGATTGTTTTAGAATATCCACCCATGTTTTAAATTGTTCTCTAGACCTCTGACATCATTCATGTTTCCCAGGCTGCCGATCTGGACGGAGAGATCGATCTGTCCACTTGTTATGATGTCACTGAATTCCCAGTGCAGAGGAATTATGGCTTCCAGATTCATGTAAGTACTACTGCTCGATTTGTCAGTCAGTCTGTGTCAGTGACTCAGTCAGTCAGTTAGTCAGTCAGTGGCTCAGTGACTCAGTCAGTCAGTGAGTCAGTCAGTCACTCAGTCGGTGACTCAGTCAGTGGCTCTGTCAGTCAGTGATTTAGTCAGTCAGTGACTCAGCGGCTCAGTCAGTCGGTAAATCAGTGGGTCAGTCATTCAGTGATTCAGTGAGTCAGTCAGTCAGTGAGTGACTCAGTGGCTCAGTCAGTCAGTGACTCAGTGGCTCAGTCAGTCACCAAATAAACCAATCAGTTATCCAACCAATTAATTCATCCATCAATCAATACAATAATTAAGTTAAAACAATTAACCACTAATCAAAACATCTACTTATTGCCATACCAACTCTTTTAGGAGCTGTCCTCAGTGTGCATGACCAAGAAGACGGACAGTAAAAGCACAGACATTTTAATTCCACTGGAAATTTATATTTTTAACATTTTTATTATAAAGAACTTTGTGTAAAAGTCAGTACTGAATCCTAAAAACATGGAAAACACATTTTACATATAAATTATACAAATGTATAAATGATGAGTCTATAGATGTGAATGAAGCAGGAGAGGTATGTGTAATAAATTAACCTATAACCTAATAATAACCCGAATTTTCAGACCAGGCTTTGAAGAGGTGCCATCTAACACTTCAGACTCGAGGAAAATAGATCAGTCGTTACTCTGTCAACACCAGCACTAAAGCATACCAGACTTACTGCCATCGCCTCTTATGGACACTTCTAACTAACATACACAGGTGCCCACACAAACACACTCACTGCATGTATGAAGAGCAGGTTTTGTGCCATAAAGCTTGGATGGTTTTCTTTTCTAAACTGCTGTCAGAAGCACATATTGGAACTCTTTTTTGTTTTGAGTGCTGACATCACAACAGGGGGGGAAAATGGATGTAGCCTTTGGCTTTATCCCCAGTGTAGGGCGTTTAGAACCCAATGATGTAAATATTTTTTGCATGTTTTGCGTTTAGCTTTAATAAACCCCAATTATGTAATAAGAAAGTGAATATTTTTAGTCTGAAAATGTAGCAAATTCCCAATAATGTAACAAAGTAGTGCATTACATTATTAATACCCTTATACTTGTAATAACACCATAATACCTCATACCTTAATACATTACATTAAAAAGGTATTACATCATCAGTGGAAGAATATTACATCAGTTAAGAAATTTAGCAGTTAGTTCTGACAGCACAGTCTGATTGGTTGGATCTGAGCTCAGTAATGGGGGTTTTCAGTGCTGTAAACTCTCACTCTGATTTCTTTCGTTTCTCTCAGTCTGAGCATGAGCAGAGCGTTTAACACAGCACCCGCGAGACGCAGCACAGCACTTTTAGAGCGACGCTGAATCCGACTACACGCTCCACCAAATTGTGTAAATTCATTTTGCTCAGCTAAAGTGACTTGATGTTTTAAAAAAGCTGCTCATGACGTTTGAGTTTTGTTTATTGGCTGGTTGTAAAGCAGAAATCTGATTACTGCCTGACTCATGTAAACCCAGAGTTTCCCCATTATCTGATTACCCAAGAGCATGAAAATATACTGAACCAGTTAGTGACACAGTCTGATTTTGTGCAGTTATCAGATTATTAAGAGCATGAAAACGCACTCATTTTTCTCAATAACTATATCATTCTGCTGAGCATTGGTTGCCAAGCAGCAACTGATTTACAGCTGACCGTTGATGCATTTCTACTTCCCCACGTAAGAAAACAGAAAATGGCATTTGTTGGATAAACGACTTTCTCTTCTCCATTTCTCTTGAAATGAACGTCCAGAAATGATCAAACTTACGTTTTCTCACTTCCAAACTACAAATATGTTTCAGAACTGTTTATTGTTAAGTTTTGTTCAAGATAATGTTTCAGAAACGCAGATCACAGATGCTTCAGTCATTACGGGAGCGTCTAAACAGAGCATAATGTGGACGTCTTTCTAAGTTTTACTTGTATTTAGCTGAAAGAAATGGCATTGAATCACTTGTAAAAATGATTATTATTATTATTATTTTTTCTTTTTTTGTATTTTTACCCAATTTTCTCCCCAATTTAGTCGTTTCCAATTCCTCCCGCTAGTTAGGACTCCCCCAATCACACGATGCTATCAACGCTAGGAGGGTGAAGGCTAACACAGGCTTCCTCCGAGACCTGTGAAACCAACCACCGCTTCTTTTCGAGCTGCCGCTCACGCAACGTCACTGGACAGCCGAACGCGCTCGGAGGAAAGCGCCAACCGCCAGATCTGTTACGTCAGCTAACAGACGCCTGCGCTGACTAGCATCGCACTGAGTGATGGGGGTGAAGGAGGGGCCATCCTACCCACCCAGAGAGAGCGAGGCCAATTGTGCTCTCTCGGACTCCCGGCTACAGACGGCTGTAGCATCACCAGGGACCGAACTCGTGATCTCCTGATGAGGGACAACGCTTAGACGGTTGCACCACTCGGGAGCACATTATTATTATTTTTAATTTGTAGCATCCTTTAAATGGGCTTTGTAGTCTTTTTACTACGAGTGATGTGATTTTTGCCTTCTTGTATCTAAACACATGGGAAATATGTCATACGCTGTTTAGACGCTCCCTTGGTGACAAAGTGCCCGTGATCTGAATTTCCAAAACATCATGTTCAGCAAAATTTAACAGTGAACGTTTCTGAAAAAACATTGGTTGTATTATATTCTCTGTCTTTCAGGAGTGAGAAAATGTATGTTTGATCATTTTTAGAGAAAATTTGAATATACCGTGAACGTCCACTACAAAACCTGCTGTACCGCGCTGACCGTAACGCACAAGGATGCTACTTTGTTGGTGGAAGGATTTGTCGATATTAAAGCAGGTTTGACATGATGTTCAACGCTTCTTTGCTTTAATTCATTCTTTATTTAGCAGAACTGTTGTGTTAAAGCAGTAGAACTCTGGAGGTCGTGTGGTATCACAAATAACCTGTAACCGAATCACAACTGAGTGTTATTCAGCATAACATGTGGCCTTGTGTTCTATTGCTTAAGTGTTACGTTATTGGGGAAGTTATTACATTAATGGGTTTTATTACAGTTGTTTTTTTAAATATGATAAGTACCAAATTTTATTACATTTCTGTATATTAATACATTATTGGGTTTATTACATTATGCTAAGTTTTATTACATTTCTGTATGTTATTACATTATTAGGTTTTATTACATTTTTGAATAGATTAAGTGCTAAATTTTATTACATTTTAGGCGTTATTACATTACTGGGAAATATTTACATTATTGTACATTTACATTGTGTTTATTATTATTCTGCTGTGCTTTTATCAGCTGTTCTGCTCTGAAAAGGTGCTATGGACTAAAACACTTGATGTTTTGATAGTGACATAAAAAAAGTATTTGTTTTATAAATAATATTTTTTTAATTTAAAAATTGAACTGTTAAATGATAAATCTAAAATTTAGATTTGGTGATTAGGGTTTGGGACAGACTCCTCCCAGTAGAAAGTACTCTATAAATGATGATTTTGTATATGTTTAGCTTATTACTATCTCTATTAATGCCTTAGGTTTAAATAGATCAGAACAGAATCCTTATAAAGATCTATGGTCTAAATATTTTATTGTTTTTAAATCTTGGGGCTGCAGTTTGAGCTCTGCAGTAGAATGTTCTGTACAGTGTTCTTACAGGCACAGTTGATCAGTGTTCTTGGCTGTGTAAGGTCAGCGCAGCAGAAGCATGCGTGTCTGGGTTTTAGTGAAGCGTTTGTTGCGACAGCTCTGCTCTGCTGTGAGGTCGAGACTTTTCTCATCACACTGTAAATGCTTGCATCACCTGACCTGTCATCAGATGTCACGGTGACATCATCAGCTCTAAAACTGCCCTGACACCTTTTGTGTACTAACAGAAAGACAGACCGTAGCATCTCACTAACAAACTGGTCATGGTTTCTTGAACGTTTGTCAGAAAAATAAATCTTAACCTAAAAGTAGCTGATTAGCCGAGATGTTTCGGTCTGAAGGTAAATGTAATAAAACCCAATAATGTAATAACACACAGAAACATAATCAAATTAGTGAACGGATCACAAGATCACATCAGATCACTTGTAGTAAATAGAGAGTGGCTTTCTTTAATTAGGAGCTGTAGCCGGCTGAAGGAAGCCACTCTCTGTTACTAATGATTTGAGATTGTGTTTAATTGATATTGAGGTTGTGACGCGGTTAATTGGTTTTGAGGTTGTATGTTTAATTAATATTGAGGTTGTGATGTGGTTAATTGGTTTTGAGGTTGTATGTTTAATTGATATTGAGGTTGTGATGCAGTTAATTGGTTTTGAGGTTGTATGTTTAATTGATATAGAGGTTGTGATGCGGTTAATTGGTTTTGAGGTTGTATGTTTAATTGATATAGAGGTTGTGATGCAGTTAATTGGTTTTGAGGTTGTATGTTTAATTGATATTGAGGTTGTGATGCGGTTAATTGGTTTTGAGGTTGTATGTTTAATTGATATAGAGGTTGTGATGCAGTTAATTGGTTTTGAGGTTGTATGTTTAATTGATATTGAGGTTGTGATGTGTTTCATTGGTTTTGAGGTTGTATGTTTAATTGATATTGAGGTTGTGATGTGTTTAGTTGGTTTTGAGGTTGTATGTTTAATTGATGTTGAGGTTGTGATGTTCATTGGTTTTGTGCTTATATGTTTAATTGATATTGAGGTTGTGATGCAGTTAATTGGTTTTGAGGTTGTATGTTTAATTGATATTGAGGTTGTGAAATGTTTAATTGGTTTTGAGGTTGTATGTTTAATTGATATTGAGGTTGTGATGTGGTTAATTGGTTTTGAGGTTGTATGTTTAATTGATATTGAGGTTGTGAAATGTTTAATTGGTTTTGAGGTTGTATGTTTAATTGATATTGAGGTTGTGATGTGGTTAATTGGTTTTGAGGTTGTATGTTTAATTGATATTGAGGTTGTGATGCGGTTAATTGGTTATGAGGTATGTTTAATTGATGTTGAGGTTGTGATGTTCATTGGTTTTGTGCTTATATGTTTAATTGATATTGAGGTTGTGATGCAGTTAATTGGTTTTGAGGTTGTATGTTTAAATGATATTGAGGTTGTGAAATGTTTAATTGGTTTTGAGGTGTATGTTTAATTGATATTGAGGTTGTGATGTGGTTAATTGGTTTTGAGGTTGTATGTTTAATTGATATTGAGGTTGTGAAGTGTTTAATTGGTTTTGCGGTATGTTTAATTGATGTTGAGGTTGTGATGTGTTTAGTTAGTTTTGAGGTTGTATGTTTAATTGATGTTGAGGTTGTGATGTTAATTGGTTTTGAGGTTGTATGTTTAATTGATATTGAGGTTGTGATGTGTTTAGTTGGTTTTGTGCTTATATGTTTAATTGATATTGAGGTTGTGATGTGTTTCGTTGCCTTTGAGGTTGTATGTTTAATTGATATTGAGGTTGTGATGTGTTTCGTTGCCTTTAAGGTTGTGATGTGTTTCGTTGCCTTTGAGGTTGTGATGTGTTTCGTTGCCTTTGAGGTTGTGATGTGTTTCGTTGCCTTTGAGGATGTGATGTGTTTCGTTGCCTTTGAGGATGTGATGTGTTTCGTTGCCTTTGAGGATGTGTTTTGTTTGTCAGACTGTCATTGGTGTCTGTGTTGTTGTTTAGCAGACTGTGTGGTGTTTGTGTTGTGTTTATTTGGGCTGTGTATTGCTGCAGGTTCCCTGTTGCTTTCCTAGTTATTTTGGTGATGTCAGAAATAGCGGATTGCGTCGTGTCTCCTGCTGTGCGTAAAAACAACGTAGCTTTAGTGTCCGATTTTCATAACTCTGTAAATATAACTACTTCCTGTTTTCAGAGGGAGAGAGACAGAGAGATAAGGAGACTGGATCCCTGAGCTGTTTTAAATGTGGAAGATGTTTAGATGTTTAGAGCATAGTCTAATTTAAAAACAGTCTAATTTAAAAACAAACAAACAAGTGACAAAAAGCTCAGTCTGTGTTGCTGTGTTTAACACAGGTTTAGCACAAGTATGTATACCGATTGGTCCAGGGTGACTTCATGTGTAGTGAGTGACCCCGTGATTGGCCAGGTGTGACATCATGGCCTTGCCGAGTTTAGCCCTGAGAGTGTGAGGGGTGAAGTGAATTCTGGGAATGCATGTGAGAGACGTGACCCGAGGAGTCTAGCCACAAGACCGCTGTCTGACCTGCACTCTCAGCTGCACTGACCAAAACAAAAGAGCTGTCAAAGACACGAGTTTGACCTTTCAGTGTTGAATGTGGTCATCTCTTTAATTGTGTATCTTCTTTGTCTCTCCTCTCTTCTCTTTCATCTCTCTTCCTCTGTTTTCTCTTTTCTTCCTACCTTTCATGCTTTCTCTTTTTTCTTTTCCTTTTTCATCCTTTTTCTCTTTTCATTTTTCTTTGTTTCTCTTTCTTTTCATTCTGTCTCTTTCCTTTCCCTTTACCTCTCGTGCTGTCTTTCTTTCTTTTTCTCTCTTTTCTCTTTTCTCCTTCTATTCTCTTTTCTCTTTCCTCTTCTCTGTCTCTCTCTCTCTCTCTCTCTCTCTCTCTATCTATCTCTCAGAGTAAGGAGGGATTGTTCACCCTGTCTGCTATGACCTCTGGCATAAGGAGAAACTGGATCCAGGCCATAATGAAGAGTGTGCGTCCCACCATCACGCCCGACGTCACTCGGTATGTTTCCCATCTCAATCCCTCTCTGCCTCAATCTTTGTACATGGAGCTGAGGAGTGCAGTGGTACATGAAATAGGCAGAGACAGTAAAGTATGGCTGTACAGGACATTTACCTCTTCACTGAGGCGAGTGTGCAAATAAATATAGTGCACATGTATGTATTGTTTCAGAGTGAATAATGGCCCTAATAACACTACATGTAAGTCACAGTCCATAAGGGTTGAGTCAAAGACAAGACTATATCTGGTCAAGTTTGAAACAAGACAGAGCTCAGAAAGAGTTGAATCTGAGGCAAGACCGAGACCAGAAAGAGTCAAATTCAAGACAAGGCCAAAGCCAGAAATGGTCAAGTCCAAGAAAATCCAGAAAGGGTTGGGTCTGAGAAAAGACCAAGACTAGAAAGGGTTGAGACAGAGACCAGAAAGGGTGAAGTTCGGGATGGGTCAAGTGTGAGACAAGTCACAGTCTGGGAATGGTTGAGTCCAAGTGACGTCCAGGTCTTTGAAGGGTTGAGTCTGAGACAAAACAGAGAGCAAAAGCGTGAAGTCCTGGAATGGTTCAAGACTAGATGGAGATCAGAAAGGTCTGGGACAAGACGAAGACAAGACAGAGTCCGGGAAGGGTCTGTCAGAAACAAGGCAGAGTCCAGGAGAGCGAAGTCGAACACAAGACCAAATCTGGGAAAGGCGAGTCTGACACAAAACCAAATCAGATGGAAAACATCTGAAAGAGGAACGAGTTTGAGGCAGGGCTGATTCAAAGAAGGTTTGAGGCTGAGACCAAGAGACAAGACCAAATCTAGGAAGGTTGAGTTTGAGACAAGATCAAATTTGGGAAGAGTTGAGCTTGATACAAGACTGAATCAGGAAAGGATTGAGTTTGAGACAAAACTGAATATGAGAAAGGTTGAGTTTGAGGCTAGACCGAGTCTGGGAAGAGTTGAGTTTGAGACAAGACCAAATCTGAGAAGGTTAGAGTTTGAGACAGGACTAAATCTGGAAAAGGTAGAGTTTGACCAAACTGGGGCTCCCGAGTGGCACAACCATCTAAGCGCTGGCCTTATCATCAGGAGAACGCTAGTTCCGTCCCTGGTGATGCATCCATGGCCAGGAGTCCAAGAGAGCACAATTGGCCTGGCTCTCTGGGTGGGTGGGATGGCTAGTTAGCGCAGACATCTGTTAGCTGACTGTTGGCTCTTTCCTCTGAGTGCGTTCGGCTGTCCAGTGATGTTGCATGAGCCGCAGTTCGAAAAGATGTGGTGGTGCTTTACAGGTCTTGGACGATCCCTGTGCTGTCCTGGAGCTGGTAGTATCGTGTGACTGGGGGCGTCTTAACTAGTGGGAGGGTTGAGTTTGATGAGACAAGATCTGGAAGGATTGAGTTTGAGACAGGACCCGATCTGAGAAGGTTTAAGTTTGAGACAAGGCCAAATCTGAAAAGGGTTGAGTTTGATGAGACAAGATCTGGAGGGTTTCAGTTTGAGACTGGACCAAATCTGGAAAGAACTGACTCTGAGCCAAGACCGAATGTGGAAGGGTCGAGTTTGAGTCAAGACCGAGTACGAGTAAGGGTCTGTTTTGTTCTGCTGCTACGTTATACTGCCTTCTCTGATTCTGCTGCTCTTCCCTTCCATCTTCTCCCACTCCAGGATTTTAACTTTTAATTTCAACACTGAAAATAACTGATGCTAGATAACTCTCTGTGTTGAGTACAGAGTGATGGCTTGCTGCTGTTTTTCTTTTGCTCTTTCCTTCTTCTCTAGCCAAACTCTTTCATCTTTTCTCTTTTCTTCTTTTCCTGCCACAGGAAAAACGTCTCTCTCAAACTCTCTGTTCTCAAACCAAGGTTGGAACCTCTTGCTCACTCTCAGGCCAGTGTGTGTGTTTGTTCTGTGATATGTCATTGTTGAGTGATGTCTTTTTGGGAGTGTTCCTCCTTCGCCGTCTATGATCGGTTAGCTATGCTTGGCAGCTCGCTGTGTGCTCAGTGTGGTGCTCGTTGACTGATGTCTGGCAGTTCGTCTCTGAAGGCTGGTCATTCTCTCATCCATCAGACTGTCAGTCATCTAGTCACCACATATACATGCATAGAAAGACTAACTCAGTCATTGGAACAGGGACTAACTTATGTAGGGCTGGATTATATGGACAAACACCATCAATGAACATTAATAATTATAATAAACAATTGCTAGTGTTCAGTTTTAGGTCTGAATAGCATTTTGAAGATGAAGAAGTATCTGATGTAAGAAAATCAAAACGGTTCCACAGTGCAGAAGGCGTGGCCTTGTTTTGTCTCCCCTTTTTCAAACTCACCCTCAACATCCTCAAGCAGCCTTTTTACTCTCGATACTTTCAACACTACGTGTCATAAAATTTGTGAAGCTTTCAGTTTAAGATGATCTGCTTCAACTGTCAAAAGTGGAGAAAATCCTACAGCAGGGCTGTTTACAGGCTAATAAAGGTGGAAGTTCCCCTCCGTCTCTTCAGGGTCAAACGCTGAGCGAAGCTGCTCGATGTTGTCCAAGCTTTGAGAAACTGTCCTGAGTGAAATGTGCCGATCAAACTAACAGCTCTGAGTTAAAGCTGTCTGGGTTCCTGCTAGAGATGTGGGAGCAGAAGTTCACCAGCTTGTTTTGCAAATTTTCTCTTCCACCTTAAATGGTGCCACAGTTACATTCTGGTGCCTGTACAAGCTGTGGCATTTACGGTGGAACGGAACATTTGATTAGGAAGCTGGCGAATAGGAAACCAGTTTCAGCCTTGGTTAGACATGAACATCAGCCATGTCTGCTGACGGTCCAGTTCCTTGCCAACATCCACTTAACGCTACATTTCTGCACATAGCCTCCATTTTCATTGCTATTGCTCTGTTGATGTTTGTGGGCTGGTGTATGTACATTTTGGGGGTGTAAATATTGATGTTACGTAACAGTTTAGGATTTTGGAATTGGCCTGTTTCACCACCCTCTTTTACAAATGTGGGTTTTGCGTTTGAAGGAGGAGACAAACTGTTTAAAGTTCACGTTGTGTCAGTTCCATGTACCGAACTGTCCTTATTCAGCTACGCCAAATCTGAGAATGTTTGGATTTCCATTCTATGGCACCTTAACATAGTTAACATTAGCAAACTCTGCTAACTTTCCAACAGCTGGACTTCTTCTCACTCCTCATCTACAGGGTAAAAGGCTCCCCCTGCTACCCAGCGGCATAACTAGGATCTTGTGGGCCCCAGTGGGGAAAACCCTCCCATATAAAAATTACCTTTAGTGAATTAAACAAAACAGTATAATTTCAGTAAAGACTTCAGGGGTCCATTTCTGAAGGGCTACATCATTTGCGATTACCCTTTTTGCACCTCTGTACACCACTATCACCACCTAGTGTACAGTAGTAGCAACTGTTCAAATATCAAGCCTTCACTGCTGATGCCAGACTGAAGAACAAAACTTGTAATCATTGTATTGAAAGTCCCTCAAAATCCCCTTAAAAGAATGTTTCAATAATTAGGGTTACTATATTGCTTAAGCCTGGACTGAAATCGGAATCTGTACAGAGACATTAGAACGTAGCTTTAGAACCAAACTTAGAGAAGTTCTGCATCATTCAGGAGAAGTGCTCATGAGGATTTAGGACACTCTTGGAGAGGAAAGTGAGGAGTGACCACCAGAAGAATAGTGGGGCTTACTACTGCAGCTAGAGCACAAAGCTTTCAGGCACTTGTAGGAACAGGTGGGCCACCATGTTTACAGTAGATAAAGTAAAATCAGATCTTATCTAGTTACACTCGTGACGCATTTTCCTGAAAAGTCTAAAAGACATCCACCCAAAGTACGTCCAGATATGATCCATGCCTGAAACACATGTTAACGCAAGGTTCCTACAACTGTTTATAGCTGTGATCTTTGGTTTTGTCCATTTTTATCCAATTTTCATCAACTGAAAACCAAAAAAAGCCGACAACAAATGAGTGAAGCTAAAATAAACTCGCTAAAGTTATTACAGTATGTGGGCTAAAATATGTGCCTCAAAACCTATCATGCATGTGTTGTTTTATCTCTTAGGCCTTGACTGAATCTGAGGGCAGGAACATTACACTCTTAAAAAAGATGCTCTTCAAGGGTTCTTTATTAAAGGAAATGGTTCTATATAGAAGCATCAACACTCAAAGAACCCTTTGCATGATTAAAAGTTTCTTTGCATCGTAAAAGGGTTCTTCTGTTACAATGTCAAGCCTGTAACAATAGAAAGAAGAACCCTTTTTGGTGCTATACAGAACCCTTTTCAAAAATATATAACACAAAAAGATAAAACACATTCATCAATCTGAAGAACCCTTTTAACAGTGCAAAGAGTCCTTGAAGAACCATCTTCTTTTAAGTGTGCAGAACAGAGCTCTAGAACCAAAGGGCCATGAAGATGAGGAGAAGTGCTAACGAGGGCAGTGACCCTCAGAAGAACAGCAGATATGATGAGTTTACTGAAGTAGAGACGGTGGGATAGAGATGTTTGGATGTTTTGACAGATGGGGGTCCGTTTCCAGATTGGGTTCAGTTACTATGGGGTGATGGTGGTGGTGGTGGGGTGGGGATATACTGAACCCCTGTTTGTTCCATCTCTGTGGCTTTCTCCACTCTGAAGGAATGCTGGATATTTTTGGGATGTAGACACCTTGCCGTCTCTCTCTCTGTCTCTCTCTCATGTCTCCTCCTCTTAAGGCTAAGAATGTAGCATTGCGTAAGCCCCCACTTTAGGACCTGACAGGCACACACGGTCTTACAGAGACAACATGCCTTGCGGTGTGCAAATAGCTTTAACACATTCCTCTCCCTCACTCACGCGGCTTGCATAATACCCTCCCTGCTGCTGGACTAGCGTACGCTCGTGAGTGTGTGCCTGCGCGTGTGGACGTGTCCGCGTTGTTATGGACATCCGTCACTCGTACCATTTCTTGTTTTTAAAGGCAGCAAAAAGCAAATGTACTCAGTTCTTTTAGCCCTTAACCCCAAATGTAAACGATCAGACAAGTCATGTTTGGTGTCTGAAGTTTCCAGCTAATGTAATCTTACACCCCACCAATTAGCGTGGTGCTAACTGCATGGCTAACCATCACACCACAGAGCGTGTGGAGCTGTTAAGCAATCGCTAACAGACCTGATTATGTGGACTGTAGTAGCCTGAAGGCAGCGGCACACCGGACGCATCACGCAGCATCACGTAGCAGATACAGTACAAAGTGCAGCTACACTCCTAAAAAGATGGTTCTTCAAAGGTTCTTTAGTAAAGACAATAGTTCTGTATAGAACCATGAACGTGCTTAAATAGTTCTCTGCATGGTGAAATGGTTTTTCACATTGATGGAGAATGTGTTGTCTATGGTTCTATGTAGCAACAAAAAGGGTTCTTTTATTGTTACAAGCTTGACATTGTCGCAATAGCAGAACCTTTTTGGGGCTGTATAGAACCATTTACAACACATTAATCCGATCCATCACTCCGAAAAAACATTTCACCATGCAGAGAACCATTTAAGCACGCAAATGGTTCTTTCACTGTTCATGGTTCTATGTAGAACCATTGTATTCACTAAAGAACTCTTGCAGATGTTTTTAGGAGTGTATACCACAGAGAGTGCATCTCAGTGAGAGTGCGGATAAATGTTTATTTTACACTCATATAGAATTCATGAAATAAAACTTTCAGTATATCCTGAGTTTCACGTTGGGTGTCGGCTCACTGCCTCGTCACAGACTCTGTGATTTTAAGCCGGAAGACTAAAAGACCAGGCTTGTGCTGTTCTCTGGGGTAACAGACCATTAGCATTTGTCTGTTAATCTAAAAGACTGGCTGTCTCAAACGCACCTCTAGTTCGGCCTACAGCCCATTCGGCCAATGGAAAGTCAGTGCACCAGACTCCTCCCACGCAGTCTCCATGGTAACAGCTGTTGGTACACCATGTGTTTTGACCATGAAAGCAGCCTAGAAACTCTCTAGGCTGCAGGCTGAACCAGAAGTGCGTTCAACAGACACTTAGTTAAAAAGTTAACTAGATTTTGTAAACAGAGTTCCGGTGTGTAAATAAAGCAGAAACAACACTTGTGTTGATGTGCTTGATATGTGGGGAAAACATGATTTCATCTAGTAACACTAGTTGGTGCGTTTTAGTAAAAAGTGTAAATGGATTCGAACCAATGTATATCCAGATACGCTCCGTGTATGAAACAACACATGCTAGTGCAAGAGGCAAACAAAGCATACTGGACGAAACTGTGCTTTTGTCCTTTTATATTAGTGATTCACCAAAATAACTAAACTAAACCGAAATTTAGGACACACTGAACCAAAAATGGAAAAATCTGACAATACATTAAAAAGTTTATATACAATAATCTTACTAACATTGCTACAGTATGTAGGCTAATGTCATGAAATCCAACATCCTCAATGGTTGGTCATCCAAGACACTTAATTTCTTCAGTATTTCTTTATCAGCAATTTTGTCGTTTGTAAATTTGCACCAAAATAACTAAACTAAACCGAAATTTAGGACACACTGAACCAAAAATGGAAAAACTGACTAGTTGTGGCTCCCAAGCTGGTTTGATTTTTGTTGAAAGGACAAAATGGCTCTTCTTATCATTTGTGTTGTGACTCCTGATCTAACCTGGCTTTAATGCAGAGGGAGCCGGTCGGATTTCTCGCTCCTCCAGTAGTGTTTTTGTTATGTGCCCCACAAACTGTCCGGGCGCTGCACTTACCCACTTCCAGTTCCACCTTTTGCGTTCCGTCAACATTACGTTATAAATTAAATATTTAGAAAATCGTTTTTTAACATTTGTGAATCGATTCAGAATCGTTCACATCCTCATCACGATGCATCTAAGAATCGAGTTTTTCCCGCACCCCTACTGTTAACTATAAACATGCACTGGAATAAGGACAAAATTCAGGCGTCAAGACGGCTTCTACTATTTTTCATAACATAACAGTAGTAGCTGTAGCTGCTAACAGTAGCAGATGACATCTTGAAACTGTGCTTTTGTCCATTTTTATTAGTGATTCACCAAAATAACTAAACTAGCGTGCTGGCAGGGTCTTTCTGCTTCTGTTTGTTTGCTGTGTTGTACGTAATTTTGTGTTTTCAGTTGCTATCAAACCTGTAGTGGAGACGTTCTCGGCTGTTGTATCTTCTCTGCGTGAACAGAGATGATAAATCTTGTTTAATGCTCCTCATAGAAACTGAAGTAGTTTCAGGTGGCTGATATTTTCACTGTTGATCTGCTGCTGCTCAAACTGTTTGAACGTGTCCTCATCCGGCACAGAAGAGTGAAATAAAACAGTGTTTTTAATCACTGTCATCTTCACTACCGTTAAAACTGACTGTAGCTCAGATTTTGACATTTGGTTGCCTATTTAGTCCTTTTTTTTGTGGTAACAATTTTTGGCATTAAATGCTGAGAGAGGCATATTTGACCATGTTCTGACTAAAAAAATTTCAGTTGTTGAAATTTCTGTGCATCATTAATTTTTATGCATGCAAGTAATGATTGTCATACATTTAGCACAGTAATCATTGGTGGGGTATACAGACATAGGCAAAAGTTTCAGCGCCCCGGTCAAATTATGTTTTGTTGATTTTCTTAGTGTAAACAAGTGAACACGTCCTCTACAGAGACACACTTCTTCACATTTTAATGCACACTTACTGTTTATTTACTGAAGTTAACACATTCGAACTGTGCAAAATGTAGGGCACATTTAATGTGTCATGATTTTGTTTTTTCAAATATGTTAAAATAGAAACTGCACTAAAATTAGCAGAAAATGCCATATTTACAGTGTTCTCTGTAGAGGATGAGTTATTTACTTAGGTTCAGCTAGAAAACCAGTAAAATTTGTAATCTGACCAAATTTGCGTTTGACTGTCAGCCTTCATTACTTGTTATCTACATTAGGTTCTTAGATCAAAGCTTCAGACGCCAAACCTGCCTTAGCTGACTCTGTTTGGAGTAAGTGAGGCAGAGGACTGTGTACGTTTGATTTTTCTCTGTAAATCTGTGAATTAATGTTTTTTTTTAATATGATGATGTGACCCCCCCCCCATCACCCTCCCCCCCCCCCCCTTCCCCTTCACCCCCCCTCCGTTTCCCTTCACTGCCCCCTTCCATTCTCAGTTCTCTTCCAGAAGAACAGGCCAAAGCGAGAGCGACCCTGGACTTGACCCAGCCGACCCCTGACGTCTCCCACACTACACACACCCCTAAAGTTGAAGTTCAAAGGTCTTGTGAGGTCATAAGTGACTCTGCTCCGCCCCCAGAGCCCCGCAAGAACCGAGCCCGTGACCGCAGGCGCGAGGGGCGGTCCAAAACCTTTGACTGGGCAGAGTTTCACCCAGGACAGGAAAAAGGGGGGCCACCGAGGGAGAGGGCGGAGACGTTAGATGTAAGCTCCGCCTCCTCTCCTTCTTCCATCTCGTCGTCCGCTTCCTCTCCAGTCTCCAGCACTTCCTCTCCGCAGACGTCCTCTTCTCTCTCCGCCCCCATCCCTGGCCCCGCCTCCATCCCTGGCCCCACCCCCTCGGACAGGAAGTTGACTCGGCAGGAAGAGGAGGTGGAAGAGGAGCGCACAAAACGTGGACAGGATCGTCGTCGCCGCTTTCATCCTTCGTCTTCCCTGCCTCCCTCGACAGCCGTTGCGGGGGCTACAGTAACTGATGGCCAGTGTAAGCCCCCTGTGGAGGTACCGCAGGATCACGGAAGGATGGAGGTAGACAGCTCAGCCTGTGTGGGCGTGGCCACCGGAGCTCAAGCTGCCAGTCAGAACCCTGATGTGCAGGTGGAAATTGAACAAAGGTGGCATCAAGTGGAGACCACGCCCCTCAGAGAAGAAAAGCAAGTGCCAATCACCGGCAGCTCCGCCCACCTCTCCACTGGAGACAGGATACCCCCACAAGAACTCGCCGCAATGTTGGACAAAGAGGTTTGTACAACAAAGGGGCAAAAGATGAAAGATATGTGTTCAGTTCTTTATGTACACTATATGTCCAGAAGTATCCAGACACCTCTTTTAATTAGTGAATTTAATTACTTCAGGTGCACATATTACTGACACAGGTGTTCAGTTGCATCCGCACAGTTTCCATAGAACAGCACTGACCAATAGAATGAAGCTCTGGAGCAGCCGCACATGAGCCTAAGGTCACTATGCCTAATGGCAAGTGTGGGCTAGAGGGGTGTAAAGCTCCACAGCCCAATGCTGTGTGGAACTGAGTTCTCTGGAGTGAAGGAGCTCCATCCAGTACCTTTGGGAAGAGTTGGAGTGACCCAGAACTGACCACCCAACATCAGTACCTGACCTCACTAATGCTCCTAATCACTCTCTTTGTTTTTTCTGTTCCATACTTCTGAAGCATTTAAATATCTTATATATCTGGAAATAATGAAAATAATAGTGATAAATATGGTTTTCATGTATATCATGCATGTCTATTTATCATGTATGTAAAGAAGACTGACGAAATGCATGTCTTGTTAAAAAAATGCATAATTAGTCTTATTAATTAGATTGAATGCAGTGCAGAAGATGTTCATTAATAGCATGCTATTATATTTTTGACATATCAATATCTGTGATAGAAATAGAAGAAGCGTTATTTGCGACTAGAACTGGCCAATCATTGAGGTGGACCTTGTGTTCATTTGGTTATGTTGGCTTGTGAGTTCAGAGTAGTTGTGAGTTCAGAATATGAGGCTGTGGTGTGTTTGTTTTGCAGTTGGGACAGACGCAGAGGGAGTTGGTGAGGCTGCAGGAACAGAACAGCCTCCTGCAGGAGCAGCTACAGGACGCCCGCGGACGAGAACAGAGCGCGCGGGAGGGATACGTGTTACAGGTAACACAGCACACGGGCTGTGGATTACAGGCGGTATATGTACACACTCTGATGTATACGCAACACACGTGCTATAGTAGATGCTCTCATAGCATACGCCAGGGGTCGGCAAGCCACATGCGGCTCTTTTACTGCCCTGTTGCGGCTCCACAGCAGAATTAGCTTTTTAGGTAAAACTGAAATAGAACTTTTTTGCAGTAAAATAAAGCTCTGCTGATCGTTGCAACAGTTTTCGCCAAACGTCAATAACTTGGAGGCGAATGGACTTATTTGCGTTTATAATCACTCCAGCTGGTTTCCTGATACGTTTAATCTGCAGTGAGAAACTGACTAAAAAGTTGCGAAGCTGAAGTCAGATTCTCATTCGCCAGACTCTTGTTCAAATTCTCCTGTTCCACCTTAAATGGTGCAGCAGTTGCATTCTGGCGCCTCAGGCACCAATTAAGGTGGAATGGAAAAATTCGACCAAGAAGCATGAAGTCCGCGTTTTCGCTTATATTTTTTGCCTATACGAGCACATTAGCACATACTGAGACATATTTACAGCCATGATGGTAAAACATTACTCCAATAAAATGGACATTAAATGCTGTGGCTCCCAAGGTGGATAGATTTTTGTTGAAATGGGACAAAATGGCTCTTCTTAAGATTTGGGTTGCAACCCCTGGCATAGGCACAGCAGCACCAATAAAGATGAACATAAATGCATCATCAAATGTACATTCATTGAGTATTTATTATGTTTACACAATTTGAAAAAAATGAAAAATTAGATTTATAGGAAAATCATATTTACACAATTTTCCACTTATCCCAGATGTAGTTGATCAGCCAAGACATGTATGGAGTCCACATTTAGCTTCTTTAGTTTAGCGCTGAAGATACAAGGCAAATGTGGCTAACAAACACTAGAGGTCAGTAGTCAACTAAGCATTTTTTTGTAAATACATCCTCAAAACATCTCTGAACCTGTTGAAACGGTCTTTATTAAGGTTGTGCAGACTTGTCAGTGGTTTAGGACACAGAATAATTTCATGTAAATTGTAAAACGCAAACACTTGAGACAACAGATACTGTGCCAACTCCCCCTCATGTGCACAGAGGCAATTTCTGTTACTTCTTTATGTAAATGACAGTTAATCTTGAAGATATATGTTAAATACATAAAAGTAACAGAAATTGCCAATGATATCTAGCGTCCATATTCTTTTTTATTCACAATAAGTTATATTGTGTCCTAAACCACGTTGACAAGTCCTCAACTGTTTAGACATCATTTACAGTAAGATTTTGCCAGTTCTGCCTTATTGTTATGTGGTATATAATATGCAAGATTTGTGGTTGTTGTGACTCTGTGTGAGGGACTAAACTGACTGATGTTTTGTGCATGAAAGTGTTGCTTTTAGCATGTGTGTTTACTAATCCCTCTGTGGAGTCAGTCTCTCTCTCTCTGGGCTCTGACTGGGGTTGGGGTGAAATACTAGTTTCACAAAGGTTGATAAATATTGCAAATTTTCAGACAAGCTTCCAGCTGTGCTTTTTCGTTTTTGTCTGTTTTTTTCTTGCATCTTCTCACTAATCTCATTTGTGTTTTTTTGTTTGTTTGCATGGCTTCTGATTGTCTGGGCTATGCTTTGCGTTTTTCAACCCATTGTTTTTATTCTCAATTATCTTTGTATTCTGTCTTTTATCTGTTTTTCCATCGATTCTCGACCCCATCATTGACACACGGGAGATTGTTTCTTTTTTTCATGCACCATTTAAGTAGCTCTCATGCTGTGAGCTATCCACACTATTTAGCATCACTGCATCTTTAGGTTTAGTTGTTTGACACGCATCACAATTTTTTGTTTTCCTTCACATTATTCACCTTTTTGTGTCAATGTCCTGAACACTTGATTCGAGTTTCCATCTTGTAATGTGGAAAAAGCACAGTAGAAAGCTTGAGTTGTTGAGATATGCACCAAATCCTGGGCGTCCTAGCAGCAGCCCCAGAGACAGAGGCCTCCATGTCTTTTGGGGTTAAAGCAAAATAAAAGCAGTACCACTAATCAGACTCTCCTCTTGATCTTTTAAAGAGTGCCACAGGACAGCCTTCATCTGACTCATCTTCTTCTTCCTCACCTCACCAAGTGCCATGGCAACATCTCACCAAGCTAAACCAGGATCTGAAGACAGAGCTGGAAGCTCAGCGACGGAAGCACGATCTGGCTAATCAACAAGTCACCAGCCTGAGGAGGAGCTACAGTGAGGCTCAGGACGTGATCGGCCATCATGAGGCTGAAATAGAGGCCCTGCAGGCAAAGCTAGCATCTGCCATGGCAGAGATTGTAGCGAGTGAGCAGGCTGTGGCTCGTATGCGCAGTGAACTGAAGTTGGAGCAGGAACGTTGCCGTGAGCGTGAGGACGAATGGGCTACCAACGAAGCGACTTTACGGGCGCAGCTTCGTGATAGTGAGGAACGGCTCCGGGACGTAGAAGCTAGTCTTCTGGAAAAGAGCCAGGCACTGAGGCTGTTGGAACGCCAGCAGGCCCTGCAAAGGGACCAGCGCAAAGAAGTGCAGAGGCTGCAGGAGAAACTCACTGAGGTCACTGGCCGCCTCATTGCTACAGAGGAAGCACAGTCTCTAAGGGAAGAACGGGAGAGAAAGGAGCAACGCTGCCTGGAAGAAAAACATGAACGGGAACGTCAAGGACTGACCCGCAGGCTTGCAGAGTCAGAGGAGAAGAAGCGTGAGGTTGAGGAACAGTTGCAGGAGGCACAAGAACAAGTGGAGATGCTGCTACGAGGAAGTGGGGAGCGGGTGGTGGGGTCAGAAGTCAAGGAGGAAGTGCTGCGTCTGCAACAACAGCTGAATGAGCAGACGGACATGGTGGAGACCCTGCGGGAGAGTGTCCGAAGGCTAGAAGAAGAACGGGATTGTCTAATGTGCCGTTGCCAGGAACTGGTTAATCAAATTGCTGAGGCAGACAGGGAGGTAGGAAAATTGCAGGAGCGTCTGAAGACGGAAGAGACAGACTACTACTCCTTGGAGAGCTCGTATGAGCGCGTCTCAGAGGAGTTTGCAAAGATCAGCCGTGTTTTGAGGGAAAAGGAGGAAGAGGTGCGGCAGACAAAGGAGACGTATGAGCAGCTGGTGCGACAGAAAGAGCAGGACCTCAATGAAGCCTTTGTCAAGATGGCTGCTCTGGGGAGCAGCCTTGAAGAGACCGAACTCCGTCTGCAGGCAAGGGAGGAGCTTCTCAGTCAGGTGCAGCATACGGAGGTAGAGCCCTGTGAAGCAGAACAAGAGCTGAAGGCGAAGTTGGCAGTGGCTGAGGATCGGATTGCTGAACTTGAACAGCACCTTGATGCTCTTCGGTTGGGATATGCAGACCTCAGGATGGAACGCTGCAGCTCTCAGGACAATGTGCTTGACACACTGGAAAAGGAAACAGAACGTGATGTCTCCTTGTCTACCACCTCCTCCTCACTAACTCTTGCAAGAAGCAGCTCAGAGACAGAAGTGTCCCTTGCCAAGCGGCAGAGGATCCGTTTCTCCAACATTCAGTGCCAAAAATACCACCAATCCCAAGGAATAGAGAGGTTTCAGATAGATGACACTTCTCTGGATCTCACTCAAGAGATGAGTCAGGACCTCATGCCAGAGACAAGCTCAAATCTCACAGGGGACGGGGACATCACCCAAGATTTGACCCAGGATATCAGCATTGTGAGTGACAGTTCATTTCAGTATTGCAGCGACACAGAGAAATTCATGTCCATCATCCATGCACTGGAGTCCAAACTCCAGGACACAGAGGAGAAGCTGAGAGACATCACTGCAAAGATGCAAAATGAACAAGGACAGCCTGGCAACAGGGCGTCTGTGGAGGGACGCATTGCTGATTCCTGTGCTGAACCAGATCAAGATGTTCCTGATGGGAAGTCCCACTCCTGCTTGGACGAAGATTCACAGGGTAGTCTTGCCAATATAGATTATAAGAAGGCTCTGGCTTTTGTAGAGTCCTGCAGAGTGAGGGTTGCAGAGATTCTCAGCAGTCAGGGTGAAGAAAGTAGTGCAGAAGCACAGGTCCATGCGCTAGTAGAAATAGAGAAAGACTTAGTTAATGCTACCTTGCACATGAGGCAGGTTGGTGCCTCAAGTGAAGTCCGTCTTGCTTCCAGGACCATAGAGTCACAATCACAAATAGATGAATCTACAATAAAACTGTTTGCCAGAATGTTAACCTTCGAAGGAATTGTTTTGGAGAAGATGGCATTCTCTCTTGAGGATCCAAAATCAGATCTAATGCAGAGTCTTGGAGAGATAAACAGAGATGCAGAAAACATAAAGAAGAGCCACCAAGGCTGTGTTTCAATAGTTTACACTGACATTCTTGCAAGGAAACTAATGCTGGAGAGTATGCTGGTGGACGAGCTTCAGGAACACCTGTCCCAACAAGCATGTACCCTCAGTGACGGGTCAGACACTGTACAGTCAGTAGGGGACAGTGTTATAGCTCAGAGTATCATACACAATGTCTGTATTAATGCTGAACTTGCATACTCCCTTCAAAGCCTAAAGCACACTTACCAAGGCAAGTTTGAGGAGCTTCAAAGGGACTTGTTCAAGGTAAATGAGACCTTGCAGCAAAGGGATACAGTGTTAAGGGAGGCAGTTGGTGCTTTAAACACTGAAAAAGTCACCCAAGATATTAGCAATAAGCTTAGTGTTGATCCTGAAGCCTCCCTTGCTGACACTGCACCTCCTGAACTTGCCCCTTACGAAGAGTTTATTGAGAGGGAAGAAGCTCATGTTCTCGCTGAAGAAATTGTAGAAAGACACTTAGCAGAGGCCATGCAGTCCAGTAATACTGAATCAACAACATCACTCCAGACTGGGCGAAATAGTCTTATTGCAGAGCTAAAGAGACAAGCAAAAGTTCTCCACCATTTGTCCCAGCAGGTTGAGAGGACCTGTGAAGAAGGTAGCAGCACAGTCCACTCTGCACTTGCAGGGGGAATCCAGGCACTTTTAGGGTACAGAGATATTGGAATTCTAACATGCAGCTCTCTCTGCATGCATGAGGCTCTGATACAGGTACAGGTAGCATATGTCGCCTGTAGGCTGCGAGCTGACCACCAGAGGGAACTCTTGTTTTGCCAAGAGACTGGCCGCAGTATGGCCACCTTGGTGCAGGAACATGCCCAGAACGTTGCAGCCATCCACCAGCGCTACCAAAGTAGCCTGGAAGAAGAGCAGCTCAGCTTCTCAAACACTATGACCTCCCTACAAGAGGAAAACGGAATGCTCCGAGAGGAAGCAGCACTGCGGCTACAGGAGTTGCAGGACCAGCGGGAGCAGCTAGCTCAACTTGAAGAGGCATTCCGCAAAGAGACAGAGGAGCTCAAGAGGAGGCATGCAGAGGAACTGGGTCAAGTAGAGCAGGAAAGAGCTGCCAGCGAGCTGACCCTGCTGGAACGTGCCACGGATACCCAACGCAAGTTCGAAACCCTGCTGCAAGAGGTAGAGGGAGCAGAACTGAGGCATGAGGAGCATATCTGCAAACTGGAACAGGAGTTCCGAGGAAGAATACAGGAGCTTGAAAACGTACACCAGGAAGAGATCCAGAAGCTTCATGACCGTTATAGCCAGACCATCCGCACTCTAGGGGAGAGATTTGAGACAATAGAGGAGGATGTACACCGACCTTGCACAGAAGAGGCTCAAGAGGCATGCCCTATGGAAGAAGGGGAGGGGGCTGAACAAGAGGTGAGCAGGGATTCAATGTCGTTGCTGAGAGACCGGGTGCAAGAGCTGGAGCTGCAGATGAGTACCATGCGTGATGAACTGGAAAACAAACCACCAGATGGAGATGTGGTCAGCCTGAGAGAAAAATACCAGAGAGACTTCGACAGCCTCAAGGTTCACCTTTACACTTTCTCCTACATGTAGATGTTTCATGTGGCATCATCACCTGTAGAATTATCCTGATCAATCGTGTTGCAGCTGTCAGAAGTATATTGAGCTACACTTTTTGTGGTACATACTGCACAAATCATCATTTTGATGGAAAAAACACAAGTTTATTAGTTTATTACCTCAAGTTTGTTTATTGTATTTAAAATTTTGTCAAAGTCACCAATTAATTGGTGCAAATTTTTGAAATCAGCAAGTAATCATTACACAAGCTCACTAGAATGTCCTCTACAAGAGATAACTATTGCACCTCTGTTAATTCCAGTAGAGCTTACAACTACTGTACAGTGGTAACATTAGCCATGTTCCCAATCACGTTAATAAATGTCTTTTTTTAAATATCACAAAAAAACAGATTTTTTGGATTGCAGTCCACTATCCCCAATGTTTTGAGTCATAGTTTGAGGATAAATGCTATCTTTGTGTTTAATGATCAAAATCTGATTAATGATTCTAAACCTACTTGCTCTGTAATTATTTCATTATTATTGATAATTGTTTTATATTAATTCATAATGTGTGTACCCACCAAATTTCACCAAACTTTCTACTGTATATTTTAATTTGTTTTTCTACAAATAGTTGGATGTAAACGTGGCTAGCGTGGTTCATGCTCCTCTGCTATTCACGTTGCTTGCCATAGCTCTCTTGTCTTCTATTACTCTGAACATTACAGTCTTAGAGTCTTCTACTACTCTGCGATTTTACTGTTGACCTCATGTGTAATGTGTCTCATAGTAAAGCTATGTTTATGCGTGCAGTGTTCCGCTGCACAAAGTGCAAAAGTCTTAGACATCTGGCAAAATATGGGAAACCACTCAGTCTAAGTGTTGCCTAAGACTGCTGATCTAAGATCAGAGGCCGTATTACAGAAACACCTTAACTCTGACATCTGATCTGTTTAGTCTCCATTACGACTTCAGTCTGGACTGAATTGAGGACAGCAGCTGTTACAGAATAACAGTTCCTAACATCATAATCTCATCATTAACTCCAGATAAGAAAACAGCATCACACAAACATCCTAACTAGACTGAACCTCCTAAATCCTGTCCTAACTTTAGGATGAACCCCAACAGGGTCCTCACTTCTGTTTAAGGTCCGTTTCTATGGTTTTTAGGCAGCTGTGTCAGCAGCATAGTTCACTACCAGCATAATGAGCTCCATTTATCTCTACTGTAAAACGCTGCTTTCACTGTGAGATGATTTTCTTTTCTAACTCTGCGTTTTAAAGATCTCAGACGCTGCAGACTCGATCTCCACCGCCCCTCTGATCACCTTCGTGTGTTAATGTTGATGATGAAATATTACAGTGATGGTGGTGAATAATGAGGAGACGGAGCTGAACGTGTGTCTGTTTATTAGGAGGAGTAATGTTAGCGCGCTCGGCTAAAGCGTTTGGGAAATGGAGACTGAAACTGGGGAGCGGCGATGCTCTGATAAACAGCAGGGGGCGCTCTCACAGTATTCACAACTTACAGTTTATCACACTTTGTTTAAATTTTTTCACATTAATAACTCTCTAGCTAACTAACATTTTTAACGTTATTTTGATTACGTGTTTATGTTTCAACTGTGCACAGATCATCGGTTGCTAGGAAACAGACATAACAATTGGTTGTCAACCTCAGTCGATTAGGCTAAGATTTCCTAACTGGTGATAAGAGGCTGTAAGATAAAATAGGAATCCTAAATTAAGATCAGATTTGCTTCTGTAATACAAACTCTTATCTTGACCTATCAGATCTTTACTCAGGACTAAAGGTGGGAAGTTTCTGCCCCAGGTCCCTGTTATCTTAAGCTGGGATACTATGATGCTGTCATAATATCTCAGCCTGATCTCAGCAATGATTACAGTTATTAATGATTTGTAACATGCTAAGTGTTGCAGTACGACACTGTGATTATATTGGAATTTCTGGTTACAAATTATTCCTCCAAACAAAGTTCACACTTTAGTGATCTCACTTCAGTTTCAAAGGCAAAACAGAACAGTTTTTTTCTTGTGAATGTGTCCTGTATACACTATATAGCCAAAAGTATGTGGACATCTGACCATCACACCCATATGAGCTTGTTGGATGTCCCATTCCAAAATCATGGGTATTAATATGGAGTTGACCGCCTTTATGGCTGTAACAGCCTCCACTCCTCTGGGAAGCTTTCCACAAGATTTTGGAGAGTGTCTGGAAATTTGTGCAAGTTCATCCAGAAGAGCATTTGTGAGGTCAGACACTGATGCTGGACGAGAGGGTCTGGCTCACAATCTCCATTGTAGTTCATCCCAAAGGTGTTCAGTGGGGTTGAGGTCAGGGCTCTGTGAGGGCCACTGGAGTTCCTCCACACCAAACTGGTCACTCCATGTCTTTATGGAGCTGCTTTGTGCACAGGGGCTCAGTCATGCTGGAACAGGAAAGGCTCTTCCCCAAACTGCTGACACAAAGCTGGAAGCAGATCACTGTGTAAAATGTCTTTGTAGCATCAACATCACCCTTCACTGGAACTGAGAGCCCAAACCCTGAGAAACAGCTGATTCATCACTCCAGAGAACACGGTTCCACTGCTCCTGAGTCCAGTGGTGGCGCTTTACACCCCTCCAGCCGACGCTTGGCATTGAGCATAGTGATCTTAGGCTTGTGTGCAGCTGCTCGGCTAAACTGACTTGACAAACATAGCATCCTATGACAGTGCCAGTTTAAAGTAAAGACTAGAAGGGTTGTCCACATACTTTTGGCAATATAGTATAAAATATGATCAGCACTTTTACTCTGATTAGTCTAATTTTATCCTCCCTCAGGTCAAATCGGACTGTGTACATAAATATTTTTCAACAAGTATCTGATCGTTTCCTGAGTATAAAACAGTGACCTCATGTAATCAGATGGTGTAGTTCTGATTTGGACCATGTCCACAGACGGACACAGATATTCCAAACTTTGATCATAAGATCTTACATTAACAGGATATTCTAACTGTAAACAAAGCCTTGCAGTGTGAGATTCATTGCCTTCCTCTTTCCCCTCTCCCTCACCTGTATACCCCCCCCCTCACCTGGGCATTTCTCTCCTGCTTGCTGTGTTTCACTCCTGCATGGCATTTACCTGAGATGCTCACCATCGTCCACAGCCAGTCACGGTTATTCCATGTGGATCACTGTAATAAAATGTGCTGATTGTGCACGTGTGCGTCCCTCTGCGTGTGTGTATGTGTCTGTAGGAGACGTGTGAGAGGGGTTTCGCGGCGATGGAGGAGACGCATCAGAAGGTCATCGAGGACCTTCAGCGTCAGCATCAGCGAGAGATCAACAAGCTGCTGGAGGAGAGAGAGAGACTGCTGGAGGAGGAGACTAATGCCACTATCGCTGGTAATAAACATGTTATAGCAGTTTATAATAGCAGCTTTATAAAACACACTTCACTTCCTCACTTTCAGAATACTACATTATAGTGGAGGTCAATCAGAGGGCAATCAAACTGCATCGATTTTGGAATGGTGAAATTGATCATTTATTAATATAAGGATATACATTTTTTTAACATTTATTTTTGGCCAGAATAAAAATCTTAAAATCCAAAATTGTGTTTTGTTTTCATTGCATATAATCCATTTCTGTGTAAATACTCTCTCCAGTTATATTTGTATATTCAAATAAGTCTCAATTTTACCAAAAGAATTGAATTTTGACTTGAATTTTAATTGCAATAAATTAAACTAAATTGACAAAGTTTAGTTCAAATGTGGAAAAATTGGATATTATATGGGTCACTGATGTGATCAGGGATGTTTTGAGTTGGGGTTCTGAAATTTTAAGCAGCATACGTGATTTACGCTGTGACATCATACAAAAATTATATGCCCAAATTTTTTCTTTGCTTAATTTTTTTTGGATGATTCACAGCGAATAGAACGTGACCTGCTGAGACACACATGCTGAACACGCACCGACTGAGAGACGTAATGGTTAACAAAAGACCTGTGTGTTCAAAGCATGGGACATTAAAACTCTATGAGGTTTTTAAATTATGAAAAAATATATATAATAATGAATAAATAAGGGTATCGCTCATGTTTTAGCACCACGCTGCCAATGAGGGCCAGCAGCTGTAATGAAAATACTTAAAAATATATACATGATAAATCATAAAAAAATTGTAAAAGTTATTTTTGAAAGAAACACACCTCGTCTTTTATTTTAAAATTGTTTTTTATTAATTATGACTTTTAGCAGTATGCAGTTAAACAATCCTGAAATTTCTCAGCACCTGCACATCCCAAATTAAATCATTTCCTTAACCGTTGTGTGGTGTTGGGCTGAACCCACGGGGAAGTAAAAGTGTGGAGGTGCTGTGTCCTTCACTCTGTTCTCCTCCTACATGGCCTGCTGTTAGTGTGTGTGTGTCTGTGTGTGTGTCTGTGTGTGTATGTGCGTGTGTTTGTGTGTTTGTGTGTGTGTGTGTGTGTGAGGGTAGACAACATGGACAGGCTGCTGACTGGACACAGCTGCTAAAGGAGAACCCTACGCTGGACACTTGTGATATTTTAAACATCTGGCATTTTTACATAAATTGTTATGACTGTATTGATTTAATAAAACAATAATGTGGAGGGTCCAGCAGACCACTGAGTAACACACACATCAACACCACACAAGGGTTAAGAATCATAATTGAATCATAGATTCACAGCAGTTACTGAATAAGAAGCTTTATGAGGAGATGATTGACAGTAAGCCTGGAGTTCAGAGGACTCGAGTCACACTGACAGCACTGAAGGCTGATTACTCTGTTTGTAGATCTGTTTTTTTAATAAATTTATTTTTGTTGTTGATTGTGTGTGTGTGTGTGTGTGTGTGTGTGTGTGTGTAGCGATTGAGGCGATGAAGAACGCTCATCGTGAGGAGCTGGAGAAAAGCCAGCGTGCCCAGCTGAGTGGAGTCAGTGCAGACATCGAACAGCTGCGCATGCAGTATGAGTGAGTACACACCCAGACACACACACACCACCCAAATAATGTCCAGTCAGTGGGGGTCCTGCGGTGGTCCTGTTTAAATAATGAAAAGGGGGGCTGTTAAACTGTACAGCAACAGATTGTTGGCTATAAACCCGAATAGTGGGCCTGTAAGGGAGGTGTTTCTAATAAAGTGGCCAGTGTATGTTTGTGTGTGTGTGCAAAAAAATAAATCAATTAAAAAAAATTTATATATATATATATATATATATATATATATATATATATATATATTTACAGACAGAGAATGTGCATATTATTTACAGATAAACAAAACCTCTTATCTCTGTTGTTGTTTTTTCAGTTTTTAACATATTTTGAAAATGCCTGTTGTCCTTTACATTGTGTCAAATTTCATAATGAATGGGTCAAAAGAAACGACCAAAATTACTTGGAAAAAAGTCTGGTTCCATTGGCTTACCTACTATGTTTTTTCCTTCTCCTGTAAAGTTCTTGTTTTGGGGATACAAGGTTTTGTTGTATATATATATATATATATATATATATATATATATATATATATATATATATATATATATGTATGTGTGTATAAAATGTATGTAGTAGCCTATTATACTGTTATCTGTATATTGCATATAGTACTAGTGACACACCAACATCTGGAACCAAATTCCTTGTGTGTGTCAACATATTTGGCCAATTAATCTGTAATTCTGATATACATATGTGCTTATATGTAAAGTTACCATTCAAGACTAAAGACTAGGTGTGTGTGTGTGTGTGTGTGTGTGTGTGTATGTGTGTGTGTGTGTGTAGGGAGGAGCTGCAGTCGATCCATCGCGAGTTGGAGGTGTTATCTGAGCAGTATTCTCAGAAATGTCTGGAGAATGCCCACCTGGCCCAGGCCCTGGAGGCAGAGCGACAGGCCCTGCAGCAGTGCCAGAGAGAAAACCAGCAGCTACACACACACAACCAGGTACACACACACACACACACACACACACACAGCACCTGCTACCTACACCTACCCCTCTATCTATGGTACCTATATGTAAAAATGTCATTTTATCTAGCATATAAATACACGTACAAGCATCTATACATAATAAGAATTTTATAATCCTAATTCAGGCCCTGCGTAATCTGAGACCAGTGCAATTGGAAAAAAAAATTACATGCAGGAATCTATAGAAAAGCAGTTTGTTCAAAAAAACAGTAAAA